TGCAAATTGGCTACCATAAATTGTATGCCAACATAAGGTACGGCGGCATTTTCATTAAAGAGGCTGAATTTTCCATTTAGTTGAGTGGAAAATGGGTATATTTTAATTTCCTTAACCATGCGAGAACTCAGGTATAAAAAAGGCCAAGCGATGTATGACCTATTAAAGAAAATCATTTTACTTGGGAAGAGTTTCTGATGGAAAAAGGAAATTTATGTTATTAAAAAGTTTATGAAAAAAAGTTCAATCGCTGAAATTTATTTTAGTGCATTTATACATTTTTTTACTGTTTTACAAATTAAATACATAATTTCTTGATTGCTACTTGTCTGTTTATGTAACAATTTGTCAAAGCCTGGAGCATCTGAAAATTGGAGAAGTGTGAGTTGTGGATATTAGTGCTCTAAATATTTGTCCTTCCGCCCAACAGGTTGCTTGGTTATTCCCTTCATTTGAGATGTAAATTTAAAAGTACTTAAATTTTTTTTAAATAATTAGAATCAACTGAAAATTGAACATTTTAAGATTCTGTTTTAGTTTTAAGGAAGCAACATATCAACATAGAGTTAAGGTTTGAAGTTTAATATACCAAAATACAAAGCAAATCCCGACCCATATACGTGGGTTCTGCGTTTTCTACATTTTTTATTTTTTCCAACTGTGGACCAAAGCAAAGTAACATCCTTTGGAGTCCGTTGTCTGACCCACTCCACTTGGATGTTCAAACAGACGCCGCTGTCAACATCCCAGACCCTGGGGACTCCAAGGAAACTGGCGCACTGCGGGTGCGGGAATTCCAGGACGGGCAATCTTGGAGCTATGCGGGATTGGACGCTTTTCATGGAGGGGGAGTATCCCACTAAAAGGTCGCATAAATATTTGTCAAAATCAGAAACATAATTGAAAAGCTTTCCTCTCCCTGCGGATATGTTTGGATTTTGGGTGTTGCTGGTCTGCCTACTAAAAGAATATTAAAAAGTTCCATGAAGTTGTAATATTTATATATTCTATCTAGTAAATTGTTTCAAGTGCATTTGTTTACATCGACTGTCAATAGGGCCCTCTTCCACAGACTTGAATTGATTTATTAGCGACTAAACTTTGGCTGAGACAATGATAATCTGCACATTATCCGAAATTTCCCTCCCAACAAGCGACACAATGATTAAGCACTAAACAATTGATGGTATCAGCTGACTAGCCCTCCATCGTTATCTCACTTTCTTGACAAGGGTTCACGATGTCAGAATCCGGAGCAAGTCTGTTGATTTTTTATAGATTTCTAGTCTTGAAAGGATGATTCAATAAATCAGTGGCATCTTAAATATACGCAGAAAGTATATCTATAGTTTTTATGATCTGACCTATGACCTTAAATTTATTCATTTCTTTGAAAATAATTCTATATTTCTATACAGATTCAGCCACTGCAAGTTGCATTTTCTCATAGAAATAAAATATTCTTCCTTGTGGTCGTAAATCACAAATGCGACATTTTGGTTGCCAACAATTTTACGAAGCCGCAAAGGTATTTTGATTGTACACCTCCTGTGATTCGAAGATGGGACATTAATTGCTTTGGATTTATGTGGTTTTACCTAAAAACAAAGTCAATGTTTTTATTGGGATGCCTCGCTAATCAAGATTGGAATTTTATGTGTGGGCAGAAGACATGCAAACAATGTGGAAAAATGTACACATGCTTCCTGTCAGTTTATCTGATAGAAGGAAAAGCTGTCTTGTTTGGACTACGGTTTTAAACAGCCAGAGAGAAAACATTTTGCGGTTAGCTTTGTTTATAATGGTTGAATACGCTAACGCTTTAAATAATCCAATGATGAATAATGAGATATTTAAGAACCAGAATCAAAATTTGCATTTAAAATGTATTTTATAATAAATAGACAGACCTTAACTAGGAACTCTGAATGGAGTATTCATTACTTTTATCCTAGAAGAGGACATGAATTGATTTAAATCAGATGCGAATATAACTTGAGCCTGATTTTCTGGGAAGTTGTCAAAGTTCTGGCTGTCTGGCATACAAATGAAGCGCCAAACAGCGTCCTTCGGCAAATGTCCTGTTGGCAGCCAATAAGGCGAAGACCCTCAAAAAAGTGAATCCATTGTAATGCCTCATTATTCCGAGTACAGTCTGTCCCGGACTTTTATTGTGCCCCTTGATTGTGGCAACATCTGGCCAAAAGACACCGCACAATGTGCCTGTAATTGTGGCAGAATCGGTTGAATGGAAATGGGAATATGGTCTGTCGCTCTTGGCTTAAATCCAGCTGGCATCAGCCGAAAAAATGGGTTGGGGTTTTTGATTGGAACTAGCAGCAAACCATTTTAATATTTAAAATATCGTTTACCTTTCTGAAATGCCAAGTTGGGAAGTTCTGGTTGGGTGGAGTTGCTCAGCTGAATTATTAAACAGTCAGCAAATGGGATGTGCTCTGGAATTCTAAAGGTATATGTCTTAAAAAAAATATTTTCCTATCAGAGACAAGTTTAAAATTTCAAAAATCGAATTTAAAATATCAGCACAAAGAATTATGACAACCATTGATTATTTGATCACAGCTTCATTAATTATTCATTAAATTTATGTACTCATTGTCCCGGGACAACAATAAAAACACAAAGACAAGCGGGAGCGGCAGGAAAATAAGCTAAATTAATTCTCACGTTGTTAACCTCCGCGAATGAAGACAAACTTGAGATTGCCGCCGAGCATAAAGCAGATTAGGGTCCCTGACCTCAAGGAGCAAGGACGTGCTCGTTAACTCCCACGAGGCTGATGACAAAGAGCCCTCAAGACAGCAAGGACATTCCAGTATGCCCACTCCAGCCATCATTTTCGGCATTGTGATTTTGATTTGTAATGGACTGGAGCTCATCCTCTTTAGATTTCATTTAATCGCCAGCTGAATCCGCTTACATCTTCAGTCACTTAATTGCGGATAATAGAGGGACTTTTGAACCATTAAAATACTTCCATATTAAAGCTGAAATTCTGGTTCCATATATCTGTGGGTTACAGTGAAACCCAATTTGTTATATGTCAGGAGCGAAAGGTTCTCATATTCAATCTGACACTGATCAGTGATGACGATTTCTCACCTGCACAAGAAAAGCAATGGGGAAACACGCATTTCTCATTCGAGATTGTTGGGCAAAATAACTCGTGAAGAAAATGGGGAAAATATGGGGGCAATAAACTGGCTTACCAACCAATATATAGCTTTTTTTCAGTTGAATGGAATTTACTAAAAATGAGTTCTATGACTAGGTTTTATTAAAGGCATATATAAGCATTAGCCTTCATCTAACAATCTGATGCAATCCCATTTACCAACTCCCAACATTTGCTTACTTTGTCCTCGTCAAGGATAACTCAGTTGCCAGTTGTTTAAATGTTGTTACATTACACGATGTTTTGGACAATTAACAGCAATAACATTTGCCAAGGCTGAAAGCCAAGTTGTTAAACTTTCAGTACAAGCTGGCATAAATTTAAGGACTCGAGTTGGAAGACAGTCACAGAGCGCAGCGAACGGCCCCCATCATGTACGATGGTGCGATGTACAAAATGTGCATTCCTTCGAGCTGTCTTGACACTGAGCAATGTGAGCGAGTGTCGGGCCAAGGAACAAGGAACAAGGATATCATCGTCGGGGGACAGGACGGGAGTCCTGGGAGCATTCGCCATTCGGGCAACACCCGCAGCAGAGCAACAGCGGCAGCTGTTATGGATCGGGGCGATAGACATTCCAGAACACTATCGCCTCAAATCTGTGTGGCTCCCGGCTGAAGGCCCCACCTTTGTCGGGTCTCAGTCCTCAGTCCTCAGTTCCCGGCTGTTGTTAATGATGATGACAACCAAAGTTGGTTGTGCTCCTGTCACCATCCACTTGACATGCTCAGAGCCGCTTTGTCCCCAACTGTCCGTGGTCATAACGCCACAGACATATGTCAGTCCACGTCTGAAGTCACACATGTCCTTGGATACGGATGTGGATACTGATGTGGACGTGGATGTGGCGACACATGGCTGTCACGGGTCGGGAATAACGTATTCCTGTGGCCACATAAACACATATTTTAGTCACAAGCTGGATTGGGTAAATTTGAAAATGTAAGGGAAAGTAAAAAATTAGGTATGGGCAACAATATAGATGACATTTAAAAACTTAATTAAAACATCATTCTACTCTGAAGACATAATATGTAGTATAAAAACCATATCCATATCTCATGATCTCAAAAAATAGAACAGAAAAATATGAATGGTAATGAAATACTTTGGGTTCCTATATAAAGTTAATAACTTTAATATTAAATATTTTATCTATTACTTTCTTATCAAATCGTTCTTGGTAAATATGGCGGCACCATAACTGGGTTAAAGGTGTTGTTATTTATTTGTGATGATTCCTGCGCAGACTCAGTATTTGATTCAGTCGGCAGCGCTGCCTCAGTGACTTCTACTTTATACTCAGTAGGCCTTATAAACCTCCAGTAGTAAAGCGTCTTTCAAAGGCTACAAAACGCTACAAGAAAGCTAACCCAAGAATACGCCAAGTTATTTTACGAATTTTTGAATAAACATGACCTTTTTATAATATTTCAAAATTAAGAAGTCATTCTACAACAATAATTATTGAAGAATGATTAAATTAATTAGTAAATATTGTAATCAACATCGTGATATAAAAAACATTAGCTGTTTTACTTATATTAATATTTTATTTATATGAAAGTTTTTAAATTAAATTAACCAAATTAGCAGGCCACTCAAATGTAGATTTATTTATGAAAATAATTACACCCTCATTTAGCTGTCATAAAAAGCAAATTTGTTGAAATGTTCATTGAATGACAGCATTTTGAACATTTGTTGCATTTTGATATCCCTCTTCCTTACGTTTTAGCTGTCGGATTCAGTTGGTGGATTTTGCTGGTTTCTGTTTGCAATTAAAGTTGCATGCTTTCAGCTTAATTCCGTATCGTTATTTGCCATGCATTTTTTATGCAACTGGAAGTAGCAAAAAATGTTTCCGCAAACCACATGTCGGAAATGTTCTCTAAAAAATGTACATTTTTTGAAAGCATAACGAACTAATTTATTTTTTGGTTTGGTCATCACAGCTGGTTAAACAATTCCATTCGCCTAGAAAAATATCATATACATACCTAAACATTTTTCCGACTGACTGGGTGAATGATTGAAACAAATTAGAATGTATATTTTAAAGGTTTTTTTACCAATTAAATAAAAATTGCAGACTGGTTCCTACCTGTTTTTGTATAAATACCAGAGTATAAAAAAGTAAGGTATTTCCTTCTAACTATAAATATTTAAGGGGCTATAACTCCTTCCTCTCCAAGAATGACTCGTCGACTTTTGTGACTCGCGACCCCAGATATTTGATAGCTTGGAAAATGCCAACTAGATGGTGACAACCCGACAGACATTAACATCAGCACCCCACCTGTCGTCCTCATCATCATTAACCAGGGAACCGAGAACCTTATAAAGGTGTGGCAAGGAGCAGCGCTGATTTGCCACATTTCAGCTCAATCGCACTGGCACAAGGAGCTCCTGTCTTCTGGCTCCTGGCCCGAGGATCCTTGCTCCTGGAACAGCTGCTGCCTTTTTCTGGGCCATAATGATGATGTTGCTGTTGGGTGGAAAAAAACAACGAGTCACGCGGGCTGGAGAAAAATAAAAGCTCGGAGCACCCACAATGCCACATTTCTCAGTGTCAAGATGGCTTGAAGGAATGCCGAGAACGTTTGTTGTTCTGTGCCGCTGTCATTGCGTCAGTTCGTCACTTTGTCATTCTGTCAGTCCGTCTGGCCAGCTTCTTTCAGCCAGGCTCTGTCGCATTTGTTTTACGCATCCTGTGAGTGTTCTGCCATGTCATCTGATTTGAGTCCTCTTTATCTTTGACTTGACTGCAGTGCCATGTGCTGAAAAGTACAAAATAATATATCACTTATTCAATTCCTGAACTATTTCTATTTACAGAAAAAAATATATTACTAAATAAGTTTGTATTTCTCTTTGTCAAGGCTGAACTTGACAAAAAGATAATTAATTTTTATAAAATACCTAAAATAAATGACACGGGCGATGTACTTTTTATTAAACATTGAAGTACATCTCAGTTTTGATCATGAAGAAAATTGTAATAATTATTTTAAAGCACTTCAAAAAAAGTATCTTTTAAAAAAATAGTAATCCAGTGGGGCATTTGCAACAAAATCCATGATTATTTTATCCTTTGTAAATTAGTAAGGACTCTCAGTAAAATGTGTGTAGCCTCAAGCCAAATTCGATTTTTCAATTAGATGGGTTAATTTGAAAACAGACACATTGCAGCCCATTTAACCGCAAAAACCTTTACCGCATTTGCCAATTTTCATTCGCCTTGCCAGGAATTACCGACTAGACCAAAAACGTGTTTATCATTTTAACAGCCAGCAATTTGAGGATTGATGGCAAGCGCTTCAAAGTGCAAAACAATTTCCCAGCTCGCTTTCCCTTTCCCGATCCCTTCCCTTTCCCATTTTCATTTTCCCGCCACAAAATAGATTTCGAAATTGAAACGAAGGCAAAGAAAACCCACGCTGAGGGCAAATGGCAGGTGAGGCTGACGGATACCGATTCCCCAGCCCGTCCGCCTCGTCCTTAAAAAGGATTTTCATGCTGAATGTGCGAGTTTGTTTCTTGGCAGCAATTGGATTTCCATGTTTCCACATTGTTTGCGCCACTCAGGTGAGAAATTGACATCATTGATCGGCGTCAGATTGAATATGAAAGCCTTTTGGGACGGCGCCACATAACAAATTGAATCGCATAGATGGGATTCGCAGTGGTTTTCTTTTCGCTAAGCACTTCAATTGATTTGTTTGTGCCGATTTTATATTTGGAATGACAGATGTTAGGGCAAATGGATACAACAGGTTGTGACAGCTAAGGTTTTTATATGCATGCAATGAGTTTTCTTAAATTGAGTTGTGGAATAAAGCCATTAAATATTCAGCAGGTGATGCTTATAAATCCCACAGTTTATTAAGATTTTTTCCATGTTTACCTAAGTTAAATAGGTATAATAAAAAGCAACCCCTATAGCCTTTGAACTTTAAGAAAGCCTAATAAGATGAGTAAATCTAAGGACTATAAAAACGGAGGGTTTATTCAAAATAGCTATAGTAAGTCATTAAAAATAGTAACTTATTTCAATTAGCAATGCTTCTTCAAAAAGTAATCAATTCATTAAACTTGTGTTGCCTAATGCAATTTCTGCTATTAAATTTTATTTATTTTCCTGTTCATAAAGCAAGTGGTTTTTTTTTTTAGTTATTTTCCTGCAAAGGTTTTCTTGCTCCATTTTACTTTGGCTCACGATTTCTTTTTGCGAAGGAAGTAAATTAGAATTTCGCTGTGCTTGGCTAGGAAAATTTATGGCTTTTGGCCCCAGACACACACACACCTCGTATGAGACGCTTTTCTTGGGACCACGCGGCGTATGCGCAACAAACGCGAGTTTTCCGTTTGATGAAAATGTATGAAAATGTGTGGCATACATTGCGGCGCCTTAAGCTGGCGGGTGTATTCCGAACCCAAAACGAAATTAGCATTCACTGGCTGCCCGAATCCGCCCAGCTGCACTTTAATTTACATACTTGATGGCGCCTTATAGTGATCCTGGAACATCTCCTTTGCACAATATCCCTATACTCCGTACTACTGGGCTTAGGACCTTTCCTTCGATATGTTCGCTCGAGGAATATGCAAAGCACTTTAGCTGACAGGATACCCCGGGCACATCCCTGCCATTGTTATTGTCGCATGATGAATTATTCAGACGCCTTTGGCTCGTGTGCTCCCCATGGTAAATGGTATTTTAAATATTAAAATAGATCCCCGTTAATGGGGACGCCAAGAATATAGGCCACAACTATTTTATGGCCCACAATTTAAAGTCTGGATAGTAAGGGTTGCCTTGGGATATCAAAGTTCTAGTTCATGTGAGGGCACTTGTAGTTCTTTAAAGCCTGAAATACATTTAAAAATGTTTCATATTAAAAAATTATTTTTTGTATCAACGAAGAACGAATATACCTACCCCGAATCCATTTACCTTGCACAGTAGTGTCCACTTGGAGTTCATTGTCTGCAAATCTTTCGGAAGTCAATATGTGCGAGCCATTACTCAAAGGCTTGGGAATCCTGTCTTCTTGTCCGTCACGTATTGTAATATATGACCAGAGACAAGGCCTCGGAATTCCAGCTGCTGGTCATCAAGTGGGCCACATGCCAGATGTCCATCTGGCGCATTGCCATTATTAATGACGCAATTGACATGGCCAGCATGCAATGGCCAAGAAATATGGCATCACTTCAAAGGCCTCTACAGAGTTACGAATCGCTTGTCAATCCGCGAAGGCAGCTAATAGTTCGGAGATGCCATTTGTTTCTGCCACTAATGAAATAACAGATCATTTTGTATGTGACCTTTTCTGAACTTAAAACAAATAAATAAAAAGAACGAGGCTATTTTGATTGAATACTTATTAAATAAAAGTATTTTATATTTTCAGACTAAAATTAACTTCCTCTAAATTTGTATGTATATTTTAATTATATTGAAACCAATAAAAAATGTTCGGACAAGCTATAAATTGTAATACATGTAATAGACTTTAGTGCATTAAATAAAATACCAGGTCTTTCCCAGTCGCTTTATTCTTTATTTTATCTTTTTCCTCGAACAGCTTCCTTTCGAACTTCCCCCATTTCTTTGTGTGTTCATCCACAGGTTTCCCATCTGAACTTTTCCTTTGACACTGTTTGCTTTGGTAATAGATTTCTTCTTTTACCCGTTTTCCCTCAAGGTCTTTTGTCCCCTCCTGTGACTTTTCTCTCGGGTGTCCAATTCAATAAAAACTTAGGACGTGTTGTTTGGGTTAATCGATGGTTGCTGCGTCGAATGTCTATTCCATTGTTTTCTCCCAGGTTAATAGAACTCGTGTCCCAAGATTTGGCCAGGTCATTTGTGTTTGCCTTTGTAATATGTTTGCCTAATGGAAACACTCGATAGGCGGCTAATAAGGAGTACATGGGACTATTAAGTGGGCCTTAATGGAGCAGCCAAAGTTAGATGGAAGTATGCTAATTCAGGCCGGCCAATATTTGCTCCTTTTCGGAAACTAAGAGATACATGTATCTACGGAGCTATATCCTTTTTTCGTATCTGTGAGATATGAAGCGGACCAGATTTCTGGGTCATAGACTCGACGAAGGGCGTAAAATTGTACATGCAGGACATCAATTCAATTTGTCCGACCAGGGCACAAAGTCGGGGAAAGTCGAAAATGGAGCAAAGTAATAAATTTACAAAGAGGTGCTGATGAAGGGAAAGCGTGGGAAAACGAGGAAAAGCGGCACGAGCAAGTGGAAAATGAGCTGCAGCTTAGATAAGTGAGGCTGTTAACACTTATTCAGGGCAATGGGGTTGGCCTCGCCCCTGCTCGCATAAAATGTAACAGGATTACAACGGTGTCGATGCTGCTGCAATGTTGGTCCTGCTGAAAAAACCTTAACTTTGCACGGCGAAAGGCAAACATAAACATGCCAGCAAGAAGGCCAAAGTTGTTGCTCAGTTGGCAGGAGATTTCCCCATCATCCTCTCAGCCCTTTTCCCCAGGAAAAGCTCAGCAACAGCAGCCGTGGCAGAGTAAACAAGCAGGAAAAGAGGAAAAGCCAAGATATTTATCTGTGATAAGAAGGTTCTGCCTTTTTCAACGGTGTAAAGCAAGGTGTGCTCGCTTGACATTGTATTTTTTGTAGCAAAATCAATATCATGGTGTTCAAAAAGATCAAAAGCATGTGTTTTTTTCGAATTTGCTAGTGAACATTTTCAATAGTTTTAAGGTGTTATAAAGTTTTCGTAACTAGAACTGATTAAAATAATGTCATATCATAATATAGTTCCATTTAACATGTAAATGTTTAGGTACAAAAAAAAGATTTATTGGAACTAAAACTGGCTAGAATGTCATCAATATAATGAGCCTTTGGGCAAAGCCCTTCACTTAGCTAGACTCTAATTGCCTGCCATTATCTTTTGGCCAGGTTTGTCAAGCAGCCACTTCCGCTTGTCGCCAATTCCCGTCACGTTCTGGCCATAAAGCTTAAGTCAGTAAGCCAATTGCAGAGTGTTTATAATTGAAATTGAAGGAGCGAAGAAACGGAAGTAGAGCCAGATTGAGAAAGTAAGGGTTTCGGAGCGAAGCGGATATAAAGCGATTTGACTTGGTGACAACTTAATTTCCTACTCTGCGTTTTATCCGGGAATTTTCTGAAAGCACAAGGTAAAATGAGAGCTATATTACCAACATTAATAGAGCCATGAACAATGTTAAAGACCTAGCTACGAATTTTAAAATTTAGTGTTCTAGCCTTATCTCATTTGTGTGCCAAGAGCGTGGGAAGCTCATTAGATGTGATAAATTGTTGACAAATAAAGTACAATAAATGGAATCTTCAAGTGACCTGTGGTCTCCATAAATATTTTCCCTTAAAGGTAACGAAATTTATTGCAAGACTACAACAATGAAAAAGGAAAATGGCACAAAAAAGGGTTGGCAACCCTCGCATAATTTGTTGGCCTTGGGAAATAAGGGAAATGGCGGCGGAAAAAGGAAGTTTGGAGCTGACTTACAAATTTGCATTGTGCAGATTGCTTCCGTCGGGGGATGTGTTTTGTTCATCATCAGTAATAAACACGGAAAGCCATCATTTTTCATGTCACTCCTTGTGGATTTCACAGCAAAGATTAAAAGACTTGAATTTTGTTCGGAAATCAAACGAAACCAAAAATAAATCTAGAATGGTATTTTAAGGAATAAGAAAAGTAAACTTATCTGAAATTAGAAATTTTAGCACATTTTAATTTATTTTT